CTTGATTGAAATGCCCTTATAAAAATGCCCAGATTTTCTCCTCCCTCAAAGAACCCCAGCGTGACACCTTCCTTTTCCACCATCAACAACCTCCAGTGCTCCACCTTCCTTTTCCACTGTCGATGACCTCCGACCATCCACCTTGCTTCTCCTCTATCGATGGCAATTCTTCTATTGATCATTATAGCAGAGCGAAGCGCTCTTCTCCATTTCCTCTATTGATCTCATCTTAAGCGCTCATCTCCATTAGTTGATCTCCATTATCACACATACGACATCGCAAGCCTTCATCTTTGGAGCAGAGAGTGATTGTGATAGGCGGGTAGAGAGCGAGAGTGAGCGAGGGGAAGGGAGGGATGGGTTCAATGCACGCAACAGAGAAGATGGGCTTTTAAAGTTACAATTTTTTTTATTAATTATACAAGGTATTATGGTCTTTCCATAATTTATGTTTAATTGTAAAATAAAATAAAGAAAAGTATCCCCTGTAATTATTACTCCATGACAACATAATTTTAAAGCCTCATTGCCACTCTCAATCCTAGTGCCAATGCCAATTCCTCCAAACTCAAGCGTGCGTACCAAACAAGGCCATAGGTCTTTTGCTAATAACGTGGCCAAAGTAAGTTGGATCTAATCACTACTATCTAAGTTGAAGTTCAAAATCAAGCATGGTCCAATAATATGGTGTGATAATACAAACGCTGCGACTGTGGCCTCAAATCAAGTCCATCATGCTAGAACCAATCACATTAAAATAGAAACCCATTTTGTGAGAGATCAAGTTCTATCAAAGACTCTCTCAATTTAGTATGTTCCATCTAATCTGCAAATTGCAGATTGCCTTACTAAACCACGTCATCACTCGAGATTTTGGAGCTTAGGAGACAATCTTGGAGTCACTGTCACTCCATCAAAGAAGATCAGACATCACCAGAATTTAAAGTTTTGGCAACAAAGAAGAGGGAGGTCAAAAGTAAAGGAGGGAGTTAAATACTATTGCTGTGTATTAATGTATTCTTTGTTCATTTTGTAATTAGTGCCTCTAGGGTACTGGAAGAGTGTCTTTGAAAGACCTTCTACTGTTTATGCATAGTGAAGGTTAAGCGGTATTGTCTTATTCTCTTCTCAACACAATCACACAACCATAACCCCTGCTCTGGATCACCCAACATTGCCAATGTTGCAACGTTCATCAAACCACCTTCCATGCTTGCATCAATAATTTCTTATCTCTCTTTTGTCATTAAAAAGCATTAGTTATCATGCATACATACATATTTAATTACTAATAAAATAAAAAAGGGGAGAAAAATTCATTTAAACTTCATAAGGGTAAAATAATAATACAATATTTTAAATTAATTTCTCTCCATTAATTCCCTTCCAATCAATGCCGACAAATTAAAGGATTATTAAAATCCCTTCATTTTCTTCCAACTAATATGCCTGTGATTTATTTTAATATTTCAAAATGAACCTCCTTAAATTAGACAATTCATTATCACGAGGTTATTGGCTCGCTCGCTCTGGCCTCATACCTAGCCTAATTTCAGCTCTGGTGATTATGATACAAACGCACATTTCAGAATTTCAATTTTCTCCAAATTCAATGCACGCCTATCCTATATATGTGCCATGAAAATGAAATACCAGGCTGATTCAATTAAATTCCAGTTGAATAAAAACATGTCCCCATAATTCCAATTATTATACGGTCAAAACTCAAAACACTCACTAGTATGTCTTATTAAACATATTCATATAAAGCATGCAAAACAAACACCTTAAATATAGGAGAGGAGTATACTCATATAGTCGTTTAAATCCTCTCCGGAACCGAACCAGGCAGTGTTAAAATCCTTCCCCGAATATTATAAAAAGGACGGGCTTTGAACGAATTAATTATATTAAACTCTAATTTTTACCAAAAAGCCTCCTCGTAATTTGAGTTGTAATTGGTCAGACTAGCATGTGCTTCTCGTCAAAAAACGACAGAAAGATCGGGAGCATCTCAAGGGGAGAGGATTGGCAGGCATGTGCCGTCGTTTGGGTTAAGAACGAAATAACCATCTTCAAGTAATTTAAAAATAATGCTCCATAGTCCATCATGGGAGGACGGAGACAGAGCAAAGGACAAGGTACGGAATGGGGTGGGGCCCACCAATCATTCCGCCAGCGAGCGCGTCGCTCCTTCTTTAACGCTGCAAGGAGACCGGCCGTCACCTGAAGCCGATCGAGGTCCTTCTTCTGTCGCCTCCTTTCTGTAACTTCCACGTTTATTATTCCGACTCTCATCACGGCCTCACCCAATCATCGGCTCGGCTTCCTCCCACCGTTTTCTTTGGTGGCTCCAAATAATGAATATTGAAATCACAATTAACAACATGCATGCACACACACATATACCTCATTTTTAATTCAATACCCCCTCATTTAATTTCGTCATCACCATTACACAATATTACTCTTTACTACTGTAACCGTCCGTCCTCCATTTTCAACATTCATTTGATCGTACAAAGTTTCCATGAATTTAAACTGACAGCAAAATTAGCGGACGGTTTATTATACATGTCAATCCAGAATAACTGAAATTAAAAGAACTAAACGGCAAAAGTGACGCTGCCGTGCATGATTTAGTATGGGATCATCAGCTTAATATACATACATACATACATATATATAATACTCTAATGAACTGCAATTTTCATTAATCGGGCGCGTCAATATAATGTGACTGTCTCTCAAACTTCATGCAACCAACAGAAGCCACGCTACAATTTTCATAAGAGAAGAGACTATTAGTTGTAAGGGACGATAAATTTCATCTCCATATAAGTGGAGCTTCTCGATATATTTGCACTGCGGGTAATTATTTGATTGGTATGGATTATGCAGTATATATGTCTGTTTTTTGGGACCATTCGTGCAAGATATTTAGAATAATGGTAATCAGCTGATTTGTCCGACTGAGAAGCAAAGTTTTAAAATAGTGCCTGCTAGTATATGACGAACGTTAAGAATCTACATGTTTCAATTATAAGAGAGAGGTTCAGAGTTACAACTTGCACACACTCATACGCAGGCCGTCACCACTAGGTATTCACTCGAGAAATCAGGGAGCGTGCGTGCGTGGTTGTTGATTTGATGATGATAAGTGGCAATCACTAATTGTAATTGTTTTCCTTGGACAATCAATTCATTATTTTAATTAATTTGTGTGATTTGGATCATATCATGGCAACTTGTCATGAACCGGGCTCACTTTGGATTTTAGCATATTACTTTTATCGCATTATCTGGGAGCCGGTTTGATAAATATCTAAGCCTTCACACGCACTGTATACGGTTAACAACTTCAACCTTCAGTTGCTATAGTTAATACGTACACGCAACGTAATGATAGTTATTACTTTTTTATATGCAGTATAACCACTAGCTAGCTAGCCTTTATATATTCACTTACATGCACATACAGCATCATCAGACGCCGCACCTGGCACAATAGCTACCAATTTAACTAAAGATATATGTCGGTCCCGATCAAAGTTCTTCGAAGGATTTGGATCATGTATATATCATGTTGATATTTCTTATTTGAAAAATTATGAGCCGTCCGTTTTAGATCGATCATATATGTATAAAAAATCCAAGTTTTACAGGTAGAGGTTTTTAAATTACATGGCCTAGCCAGCCAAATTCATGCATATCTTTCAAAAGCCAAGGTGTGCCAAGTCTGTAATGTCGTCCGTCGCCAACAAAATAGAAGTAAACAATATGAAGCAGACTGATAATATACTCTCACTTGATAACCCGGGTTGGGGAGTGGGGGGCATCTCCAATAAAAAAAGAAAAAAAAAAAAAAATCATCTCCATCGTATTAATTTGAGGACCGTGTCTCATATACACCGCACCGTGGAGTGTAAAATTAAAATTTGTAAGAAAAAGACCACGTTAGGGCGGACGTAATAAATTTTAAGATAACTGTGACAGTATTTATAATAACTAGAATGTTAATGAATATGGGTACTTGCAGCCAAACGCCCGTCACTTTGCTACTTGCTTGCTTGTGTCAGCGTGTGTATTTATAGGGAATCAGCTTCGGTGCTCATCTTAGGATGAGCGCCATGGTGGTGCTCAACACCAAAACACCAAAACACTGCCGTTTGGCAGTGTTTTTTTTTTTTTACTATTTTAAACCACAAATTTATTATAACAATAATATATAAATATTATAAAATTATTATTTTAATATTTAATAAACTAATAAATATTAAGATGTCAAAATTAAATATAAACAGATTAACTCATTAAAATTTAACTTGAACAGTTTATATATAAATTTTGATATGAATAGTTTAGAACTGTATTAAAAAAATTAAAACTGTAAATATAAATATTTTTTTTATTTTATTGATTTTGCACAATTGTTTATTTACGAGAGATGATATCATTCAAGGCATAATCAAGTATTAAATATAAGTATTTTTTTAATAAAAATTCAAATATTAATTTACTATAGTGTGAGAAACTGGCTCATTTTACCAGACCCTACTCTTATTTTAAATGGTTCAGATCATTTTTTATTTGTTAGTACAGTTTTCAATATTAAAACCAAAATTTTTATTTAAACTATTCAGGTTTAATTTTAACATTTTAACATTTATTAATTTATTAAATATTAAAATAATAATTTTATAATAATTATTTATTATTATAATAAATTTGTGGTTTAAAAAAGCAAAAGAAAAAAAAAACAGTGTCAAACGGCAGTGTTTTAGTGCTGAGCACCACGGTGCTCATCTAAACTGAGTCCGTATTTATAGCACAAGGTCTGTATCAGTACTTGCGCCATTCGTAAGCAAACACACAATATTGTTCCTTCTCTCTCTCTCTCTCTCTCTCTCTCTCTCTCCCTCTCTCTCTCTCTCTCACACGCTAGCCAAACAGCACTGAAATAAACCCACACCGAAACCTTATTCTGAATCTCTCTGATCATGGCAGGAGCTGGAACTGACAAATCTGCTTCTGCAACTTCGGGTCCTTCGTCATCCAATAACAGCAACAAGGCCACGATGCTCAAACGCTTCATAGGGGTTCGCCAGAGGCCGTCGGGACGATGGGTCGCCGAGATCAAGGACTCTTCTCAGCACGTTCGGCTCTGGCTGGGGACCTACGACACCCCAGAGGAGGCGGCCCAAGCCTATGACGAGGCGGCCCGGGCCCTTCGTGGCGACAACGCCAGAACCAACTTCGTCTCAGCCGCCTCAAACGAGGACCTATCGAAGCAAAGTGGACTGAGTTTTGCTTCTTTGAAAGCCAAACTGAGCAAGAATCTTCAGAGCATAATGGCCAGGGCGAGCGATGGCGGCGCAGCAGTAGTAAGGCATCCAAGAGCAGGGTAACGGACCATTTCACCCTCGCCAGCATATTCCACAGGAGGACTGCTTCTAACTACGGACACTATCAGTTCGGCCAAATCCCTTGTGATATGGTGGAGAAAGTGGTGCAACCTAGCATAATAGTGCCGCCCGTGGGGAATCAACCTGGTGCATTTAGTTCCTGGGAGAGCTCGACCTTATCGGATTGCAGCCCCGAGTGGGTTGGGTTCCGGCACTCGGAAGGTTCAGATGCCGACGGCGAGCAATTAGGGCGTAATCTGGAGCAGCTGTTGGGGTGGGTGGATAGTCCGGATCATGGTAACCATAATATGTATGGGAGCAGTTTAATTAATGGAAGCGATGAACAGGATGAAGGATCGAGGAGCAAGAGGTTTAAGGTGTCTTCTTCGGTTCTCGTGCCTCCAACTTTCAGCGGGCCTCCAGATAACAGTGCTTTTGGATCTCCATATAATAATAATAATATTGGCGGCAAGTGACGGTCATAAAATTAATTCGGATGCTCTCTGACCATGCAGTTCATGTAATTAGAAACAAATAGATGCAGTGGTTAGTTTCATTAATTTAACTAATGAAACCCACCACTGTGTCTATCTCTCTCTAACAGTTGAATTCCATGGTTAAAGAGCATCTTAATTGACGAAGGATGTGCGTGGAGGTCAAAGAGCTCTGTATCTTATAAGCATGCGTTTGAACATAGAAAAAAGGAAGAGTTGCTTCTCGTGTTTTAGACATGACATCTAAGCTGATTTTAATTACTATTTAAAGCAAAGTTTCGTTTATTATTGCATCTCTTCAGTTGTTACTGGGATAGTGTATATATCCGTGAACATATATATAAACTTCAATTAAAACAAACAACACTTGAGCAAACTTTTAACAATATTGTGACAAGATCTACAATTAAAGGTTTGGAATCAGACGAAAGACCAAGCTTTCCCCAGCTTTTGTATGATGCGTATGAGTGTAAAATATTGTGAGATCGAAAAGGGTTTAATTGGTGTTCATGTATTATTGTTGTGATTTGACTGTACAGAATTGTATAGAGATACATACTGGAGATGGCTGCGGCTATAATAATGAAGACGGAGGAAGAAGGGAGCGTTGCATAATTGAGCAGTGAATCAATCCCCAGCATCCCTCATCCCGTATTCTCAACTTAGACGTTTCAACAATGTTATGTTTCATTACTTCACTCCAAGTATAGTTATGTCATATACACATGATACAATTCTCTTGCATGCTTAGGATACCATGCTCCATTCATCCTGATTTTTTAGTGCTGTCTTAATGTGTAGGATGAAATGAGATGAAAAATAGTAAAAGAAAAAGTTATGTGATTTAAAACTTTGTTTCTATACTCTAAAATTTTTAAAACTAATAATAATCCAACCTACTCAACAAAATTAATATCTTGAATGGACGGATTTAAGCTAATGTAAAAAGTCTTAAACAAAATAAATTAAGTTAAAATTAATAATTAATATATAATAAATAGTCAAAAACTTGAGTTTTGAGATTAAGTTAAAGATATGATGTTTTTCTATTAATATTATTCATTTCTACTCTCCCTCTATTCTTGAGTAGTTGCTTTTCATTATTAACAAATAGTATTAGCGTCATCTAGGTCATAGACTATCACTTACAAAGTTTGTTACTTTGCTAGTAATAAATGGTGGAAGAGGGGTGTCCAATCTTTGCAACATTAATATTCCATGTTAAAAATTAGAACGTCAATTGCAAAATTTTTTATGCATCAATGGCAAATTTAAAAACAGCGTGAAATTTTTGTGTTTACAAGCATTATCTAAACATCTTATTCTAATTTTTCATGTTGAATGCTGGAAGACCAATTGCAAAAAATTTACATATCAATGTCAAATCATAATCCTTTGATTATGATTGGCAATGTTTTGATGTTTTACAGAATATTCTAGTTGTCAAAGACTCGGGCCAAGGGCATGCATTTTTCCTTGGTGGCTGCCAAGATAATGAAACTGCAAATTGGCTGGCAAGGAAGAGCTCTAAAAAGATGTGTTTATTGGAATGGCTTTTTAAAATTATGTCTTCTTTGTTTGATATTTTACTTGCTATGTTGCTAGAAATTTTGTTTTCATTGTCTGAAGTGATTGCTGTAAAAAAACTCGATTGGCCAACTTTGCTTCTATGTTTTTTTTAATCTTCCTTGTATTGTCATGTCATTTTTGTATTTTTTTTTAATTTATGTGTTAGGTTGTACTCAGGTTTTTAATTTTTTTTTTTGCTTTGACTATTAATGCCAGTGTATTTTTTTGGCAACTAATAAAGTTGATTTTCTCAGGAAAAATTATTATGAAGAAGATTGGTATTTTTTTTTACAATTATGTGATTTGACATTTTGAAAATATATAATTATTAAGTATTAAAGGTTTTTTTCCTCAGATTTTGGAATTTTGTGATTGATATATCGGTCATTTAGTTCTCAGGCACAATAATAAATGGGCCTGACCAAATGGGCAGGTATCATCCCCTATCAAGAGTCTCTAAAAACTTCTCATACAAACTAGACTTTGCAAATTTCATTTCTTTTGCAGTTAGGAGTTAACAAGAAGTTCACTTTATATTCACACTGCTCATAGCTCCATAATCACTAACCTAAAAGCTATGACCACGTGACATATTCAATAAATAGAGATAAAAAAACAAAATATTGGCATGCAAGAAAGCATACCACAAAGTATTGGAGAATATCATATTAGCATGAAACGATAATGCATTTTTTACGTTATTTTCTCAGTCTTTATTAATAATAGTGAGTCAACGTGTACACGAATTCCATTGTGAATGCAGTGTCATTTTGCCTCGTGCGTCGCACGGTATCTCACGCTAGTTAAGGAATTAAGGTTGGCTTGTTTGCTTGTTTTTTTTTTTTTTTTTTTTTGAGATTTTGTAATTGATATACTGGTCACTGGTGATTTAGTTCTATTTTGGTTAGAGTGATTTAGTTCTCACTTGTTGGGTATCATTTCACCTAATATTTATATTTTATATTAAGAACCTGTTTATTTTAACTTATTTTATGTTAAAATTACTTTTTAAAAAAAAATACTTTTCTTAAGTTTTTATGATATTTGTTCAAACTTTTGAAAATAATCATAATAGGAAAAAAGCAAGTTTCTAATTATTTTAAGAAGCTATTCAAAATAATTTAATACCATAAATAAGAGAGAATATTTTAAAAAAGGTGAGATATGTGAATATATTGTAAAATTTTAAAATAATTAAATAATAAATTATTTTTATAAAACAAAAATAAAAGAAGATATAAAATTTAAAAATAACTAACTAATAATTTTTTTATTGTAACCAAATAAAAATTAATTTCTGATTTTTATAAAATATTTACAAATAAATCTCTTTTTATAAAATATCTGATTATCTAAAAATATTTACATAAGCCTTAAATTGATAGAATGACATATAAGAGAAATTTTTAAATGGACCTAGCACATTATCTATAGTCCATCTAATAAAAACATTACATTCAAATGTCATTAAATATAAATTAATTCTAACAATAATGACAATACAAAGAAAAAATGCAATAAATTAAATAGATATTCTATTATAAAAATAAAATTATTAAAAATAAAGATACATAATATTTTATTTGATTGTATTTGCATGATTTTATTGGATAAACCAAGGAAGACGTGATGCATCAGATCCATCTAAAAATTTATCTGCGTATAAATCTTCTATAACATTAATAAAATATTATATTCCATCCGTTTGAATCATCCTCAATAAGTTAGATAATTATTTTTAAATTAATATCATCTTTATACATTTATCTTTATTTAAGAGGGTGTGTCACTTAAAGATGAATGATTGAATAGCTTATTTATCAGGGATACTAATAAAAAAAACCTTGTTATGTGTTACACTTAAAAAACAAAAAATACCTACTCATAAAAAACTTATATTTTTAAATATTCAACCTAAAAAATATTTTTTAAATATCCAACCTAAAACTAGCGTGGTAATAATGTTCATGGAACTTAACTAATTTCCTATAGGATAAACCTTGTGTACTTACTTTTATATGCTTAATATATTTATATTCAATTAATTCATAACAAATGAATCTCAATATGATAATAAAATTAATATAAAATTTTATTATAAAATAAATAATATATAAAATATATTTTTAATTTAATTAGAAATAAATATATTTTTTTATTAAAAAATATAAGATATTTTTTTTCCGAAGTTAAATATTAAAATATGTAAGATATTTTTAGTTTTTTGACGTGTAATTATGCTTTTTTTAAAAAATATCTCTATTAATAATTAATTTATATTTATTATAAATATTTAATATAAATATATATAAAAAGATAAGATTAATTAAAAAATATATAATTATTTTATTAAAAAATAAAATTTAATTAAAAATATTTTATATTTTTAAGTGAAGGAAATATTCACTGGCTAAGCGTATAAATTTTTTCCTTTGCCTTATCAGTGGGTACCCTGTAGCCACGTGCTTATTGTTAGTCAACACCCTCGATAATACTTAATTTCCCAAGGCTCCTTCGGTTTCCTTTGTTCGTGTTTCCATTTTGCAATTTCTCCTCTCGCGCCTAGGGTTTCATGCGTGAAGGCCTCAAAGAGGCATGTATCCTTCACTATCTCTTTCCTGAAGCCACGGATCTGCGTTGGCTCTTCCATTATCCGTCGAATTTCACCTTGGCTTTTGTTTAATTTTCAAATCAATGTTGCATTTTAGGCTGCAGAAGGTTATTCTAAGCTTTCAAATTGCTGCTAGAGATGAGGCCTGTCTTTTGTGGAAACCTGGATTTTGATGCGCGCCAGTCTGATGTTGAGAGACTCTTCAGAAGATATGGGAAAGTTGACAGAGTGGACTTGAAGTCTGGTATGCTGTTCTTCATCTTGGCTGTACTGGTTTTCATTTTTCTTTTTTCCTAATTTCTCTTTAGATTCAGCTTCGGTCCAGGGCTTGAAGTTCTGCCTTATTGTTAGTTAGCAGATAGTCAATTGCTTCATTACTCATTTATTTTGCAATGTGGTATTTGCATTATGATCAAAAAACCTTGGGTGGTCAGCGTTCAAAAGATTGGACTTTCTCAAGCTGGCTTCCTGTAATCATTTCATTCATAGATAATTTTTCTGTGATATTGTAATCTGTAATCATCTCCTGCCAAGTGATGATTGTAAGCCTGCTTAGTTTTACTTAATTTTCTGAGCTTTCTGTCCTTTACAATGTATTACTGTAGTGAATAGACTGTACACGGATTGTTTAATTCCGAGATAAGTCCTAAGCAGATAAACAGATTGATGACTGGCATCTTGACTGAAGGTGTTACTGTGGCATTGTTTTGATCATGAAACTCATGATGGTAGTGTCTGATTGTGTTGAGACACAGTGGGGTATTAATGTTGTTTGGGAAAAGCAGAAGGATGTATGTACAACCATTGAGGGTAATTATCCTACAAAGGATGCTTCGACCCTTTCAGATATTAGTCTGGAAACGAATTGAAAAAGAAATAAAAAATAATCGTACATGATTATGAAACTGCTGAACACTAATTACTCACCTTTATGAAATTTGTTCACACATTTTTCAAAAGACATGAACATTATGAAATCTCAATATTTTTCAGCTGTAAGTTTTGTGGTTTAAGCTGCAGGCTATATGAGGTTGCATTGTATTGTGCCTTGTGTTAGAAACTTCACATTTTTCTTGCCATGATGTTCCAGACTTTAACATCCAAGAACTGTTAAAAGATGGCTTCAGTCCCCAGACGATACTTGAAAGGGCCGAGACATTCTTTGACTGATTACTTTTTAATGGATGTACAATATGTTTCTTTAAAGAAGCAAGATTTCCTGAAAATATAAGCCCCCCATACTCAACAATTTCTTTGACGCAGGATTACTTGGAATGTCCATGCTCTTCTTGGATGGATGTGCTTCTCTGCATTTCTTTTCTAGAATGTGCCCAAGCTTCCTCCTCTTGTATTTTCCCAGAAGAAATAATCTGATCCGCCCTAGCCCTGCCACTCTGCATTCCCTCAGCATTCATTGCTTTTTCATTCCTCATGACTTTTGCTCAATGTTCAATTTCCGACATGTTTCAACATAGAAACTTGATGGTTTCACCACAATGGCAGGTGTTGTGGTACTTCTTGACAGTTTTCGTTTCTGTTTTAAGTTGCTTTATGTCTCAAATTAGATTAGTTGATGCTGCCTGCCTCTCCAAAACATATTCATGAAAGGGGCTCTTCCAATGTTTCAACTGAGCTGAAATGTTTTGCACTGTTTTCTTTTAACATTCTTGTTTTGTAGGGTTTGCTTTTGTTTACATGGAAGATGAACGTGATGCTGAGTATGCAATTAGAAGACTTGATAGAACAGAGTTTGGTAGAAAGGGGCGCCGAATACGTGTCGAGTGGACCAAGGTATGTAATTTGCAAAATAGTTTCTCGAACATGGATATGATTATAATTAAATATCATGTTGTACATAATCAAGTTCATGCGTGATGATGTTGAATCTTGTACTTGTGATGAAAGCCTGACACATGAAACTCCCGTGATATATCACTTTGGGTATGCTTATGTAAATTAAGTTTCATAATTACTGGTGGCGGGGCGCATGGTCCAATGCCACAGTTTTGGCAGTGCAAATTTTCTTTGGTACAGGCATGGCGCAACCAACTGTACCATGGGCAATGGTGCATGTTTGCGTTTGCTCCCATGTGGGAAATTTGAATGCCCCATCTTAGTGAGGTGCCTTCATATTTGAGGGTTTTTATCACTTCATTCCAATGGATCCCTTCAACACAGCCCATCAAAGAAGCCAATTCTGCTCTCACGTCTCAAGGTCTCCTCCTTATTTACATCTATCCTCTATTCCTCTCTCTGTCACAGTGCTATGGCAGATCAGGTAAGTCCTTCATTTCATTTCCTCTTCGATTCCTTTTTGTACTTCTCCGTTACCCTTCCCCTTTTCTGTTCTCTCTATCTCTTCTGTTTTATCTTTATTTTTTTTCTGCTATCCCTCTGTTCTAGATCTCTTAACTTCTCATCCTTTCCTCCCATTCTTTTAATTGTTTAGTTGGTGGTGGATTAATTTCAAACGTTCATACTTCCATTTTTTATCATCATTCTGAGATGCCCCCAAAATAGCCCAGTAACTCGGAGCTCTGCACTAATCATATTTCCGTAAAAGAGGAGATAAATTTCTTTGCCAAGTTTTCTGGTTTATGCTCTAGAAGCTGAACTATGGCTTTGGAATTTAGAGCTTTTTATAGAAGCTTAAATAAAACAGTCAAGCCATAGTTGTCTGTCACTTTGTATTTGGTATATGTCTTCATCGTCTTGATTTACATACTTACACATCGATGATTATAATAAGTTCTTTATATAGTGTATGCTTGATGCATTTGGATTTTGGACTATTGAGTTATGACAGGTTAGGTTTTGAAATAAACTTTTTGCAGGAGCACATGTTATTTAACCTGTCCTTTTATGTTCACTTTGAATTTTTTGATTTATTTTAACTAATTTAATTTAACAACTTGCATCACAGTTTGATGTTGCCACTTGCCGATACCTTATGGCTTCAAGAGTTCATATTGCAACTGTGCACTTCATTTTATAAAGAACTATGCAACTTTTTATCTTGATGATCGTGTATGCATTGGGATGAGTTCAGAATGTTTTTGCATTTTTTTGGCGCTCATGCCCTTGTTTATTGATGCTTTCATGTTCCTTGAAAGGAAGTTGTGCTTGTAATTCCTGTATATCTCCATCACTTTAACCAGCAGGGGTATTTTATTTAGACATGGGATGCAAGAAACTTCTGGGTAATCTCCTCATTCAAATATTAATGCTGTCACTATATAATGAGCTGCAGCAAGAACGTGATAGCAGAAGGTCAGGTGATTCAAGAAGATCTTCTACTAATATGAGACCATCAAAGACATTGTTTGTCATAAATTTTGATCCTGTTCACACGAGGACAAGGGATCTAGAGAGGCACTTTGATCCCTATGGAAAAATATTGAATATCAGGATAAGAAGGAATTTTGCTTTTGTTCAGTATGAATCCCTGGAGGATGCCACTAGAGCATTGGAGGCAACTAACTTGAGGTTGTAATTTCCTTCCCTTAGTTGCCATATTTATTTATTTCTTTATTTTCCTTGGTGTCTTTCCCCTTTAAAGGTGCAGAGGTAATGGTAGGGTGATGAACTTGCTAATGGATGTAAATTTCTTTAAATCTTGTAATGTTGTGTGTGTATATATATATATATATATATATTGACTGTTTTGCCTATATTTTATTTTCAGTAAGTTGTTAGATCGGGTTATAACAGTGGAGTATGCAATAAGAGATGATGATGATAGAAGAAATGGATACAGTCCTGATAGAAGAGGCCGTGACATATCCCCTGATGGGAGATATGGTCGTGGTAGATCACTTAGCCCTTATCATAGAGGTAGGGGTAGCCCAGACTATGGCCATGGATCAAATCCGACTTCCAGACCAGAACCAAGGGGAAGCCCTAAGTATGAACGGAATGAAAGCCCATTAAATGGAAGATATGACAGGTTTGTTTTGGTTAGGACGCCACTTGTTGACTGCATGTCCACAATATAGCCCTTTTGATTTTTCTGTGTTCTTATATTCATTCCATTTTATTTGTCTTTGTGATTTTGTCTGCAGCCGATCACCACCACCCCGCCGTCAGTCCCGATCCCCAGGAGAAGTTGAATAGAATTGTCTTGGAATATGTTAGACCGATTTTCAGTTTGGTTGTAGACTTCCCCCTGCATCGCTTGCCAACAGAAAACTTTGCTTGTTTGTTGAGTGTATGTATTCTTATAAAATCGTTCTAATTAAAATCCTAAATGTCAAAAGGTATTATATGTTATGTTTCTCTTGATGTTTTATGGGGATTTTTGTATTTGATTTATTTACTTCAAGCCACAGCAAAGTTGCGATCTCTATTGCTAATGGTTTAGCCTTCGAGATTGTGTAGTGACCTGGCTAGTTTTTAATTTGGTGTTTAGACATTACGAAGTGCTTTATGATTATGAGGAGATAGCTTGAGAATGGTGGACCATCTCAAGAATTTTCATGTGCAAACGCGAGGCGCGTTATTGTTTTCCCTATCTCTCTTACACACCACTTAAGATGAATTATTTTATAAGATATACTGAAGTTTCACCTTGGATTGTATTTACTACTATTATTTTGCTCGATGGAACTTGGAAGCCAGCTCTATGTTGCTGATTTTGAGTTTGCATGCCATGGTTTATGCTCTCCAATTTGTAGTTTGCCACTTGAAATCTAGGGTTTGGTTCAATTCAGTTATTAGTGAATATTTAAATTTTGATTTTTCTATTTATGGTTCTCATGGCTCTTGACATTTGTGCCTCCGATTAAATACAAGTGAAGCATGCGCATTGGGGTTTGCTACTTGTGGACCCTTTTTGGCCACTCCAACTTCGTGATGGATAAAAAATTTAATGAAAACGTTTAGGATGTGATTAGATTTTGGAAGGATTTGTAATGTATAAAAGTTTTTGGATTCAAATTTATGTTTTATTATAATTTTTTTGTAATTTTAATTGTTTTTAGGCTTTAGTTATTGGAAATGTTAACTACTTAATTCGCTCATGGTTGTTATATTTTTACTATTGATGTCTTTTTTAATTTTCATCGCTTGTTCTTAGTTTTTATTGATTGAAAAAAAGAAGCAAGTTTGTCATTTTTAATCTTTTGCTTGTATTTTGAAACTCAGTTCATCTCTCATTTATCTTTTAAATTTTTTATATTATTTAAACAAAGAATTTTAAAAATATGAATTTAAACTTAAATCTATAAAATTTGTCTTGTTAGATCACATTTACTATACTGTTTAAAATTTTCAATTGAAGGATAAAACTGGATGCATAATTGGGGCAGTTTGATGTAATAGTATGATTTAGTTTATGATATTTATCAAGTGTGAATAAAAAATATTAAAGGACAAAAACTGATTTTTGGCTCAGTTATATAAAAAATTCAGATTTCTGAACATGATCCATGGACATGTGGTACAAGTCAATTTGTGGCTCAAACCATGTAGAGCTAAAGATTTGAGTAAATTATGTTTTCTTATCTGTACATGCCAAATTAAACCATGATGTTTGGGGCCGAACAATTGAACATTTAAACTGGCCTAGCTTCTTGTTAGCACTAAGCAATATAATATTGCATTAAGAAAAGTAATTTTGTTTTTATTGTTAACATAATATGAAGGGATTTACAATTCTAACGATGCATTATTTAAAAGCCTTGATGATTTAATAATTATCGAAAATAATATTTTAGTTGGAGTGAATAGATTTAGATTTTATTCACATTTTCGATCATGCAAGGACACAGTTACAAGATGTAAAATATAAACTTAATGTATAATGATATTTTTTATGTAATTTTTTTAACACACGAATTTGAATAATATTATTTCAGAGAGTCAGGCATGAGATTAATGAAACAAATGAATACTATGACTTTCGGGCCTAGTGCTTGTTGTTATGTTTAATCCCTTTTTACACCAAAAAACACGAAACAAATGAATATATATATATATATATATATATTTTGGGTTTGCTCAAAAAATTCCCACAGGAACTGTGAGATTAATCTCTCAACAAATATGAATACCAACAAATGAAAACTAAACTCAAATCCCATGTGTTGCATGGATTTGATCCGATAAAATTGAGTGTATCAGTTGACACTTCAACATGTTAAATTTTAAAAAGTTAATTAGAAATGATATTTTCTTATCAAACACACAATTAAGCCGAGCTAATTAAATGAATTGGATGACACTTCAATATTTTAAATATAAAAGCTAATTAGAAATGCAAAGATTGGCTTCCAAGCTCCGACGGCGACAAGGAACGGCATCCCGTACCGGGTACGCAAAGCTGCTCTTCCATTTTCTCAGTCAAGGGGCTGTTCGTTGAATTAAAAATAACAAGAAAATACAACAAAAACACTACTTCGTATTTATAATTTACAAATTTACTAATCCAAAAAATATTGCTTTTATTCTTTAATTTAAAAATAAAAATGACAGCAAGAGAAAATAATCATCAATCAACGTATCATCAATAAAAACAAAAACAAAATCATTTGTCACTATCTTTTGTTTAATTTCTATTCGTCCTCACAAGTAATTTTTGTATGAACTGTCGTTTTGTTGAAACGTGTTTTTTCCAAATTAGAATAGCATTCAAAAAAATTGTGAGGATGATAGCATTATAATAAATGATATATACTTTTTATTCTTATACAGAAGAAAAGACATATTTTTTTTTTTACACGAGGGAAAACCTTTCTAATTGCACGCTTCACTTTCTTGATAATTCTCAAATTCTAGTATGTAATATCTAAAAACCTTTTTATGCGGAGATTCAAGCAACGCATGCGTCCCCGTAAATGGTTTTCGTAAACTTTGAGATATAACTTCAATTTCATTTCTTTATTTTTGACTCTCAAGTTTTAATGCCAAATAAAATAATAAGACAAGACATGTAAGAATAAAGAACGTCCCCATAAGCGTAGAATGATTTTTTGAAGATTAGTGGAAGTGAAATTAGGGGTGAAAGGTTTGGGTAAGTAAATCATAAATCAAAGAGAGGGCAAAGAATGAAGTTTATTTAAACTGATTGGTGCAATGATTTATTATTTTAACCATTTGCTATTGGGCCAAAAAAAAAAAATTGCTGATCCTTCCGTAACCATGAGACCTTTTTGTGGAATTACGTTAATTTTCCAATATCCTTCCTCATTCAAAATTTGAATTCCAGAGACAATCATAGTGTTCTGAGTTGTTATTTCATGTGTCTCTCTAAATTTTAAAACATGTTTTCAACTTGACTTGCCCTCACTCCCAAACCTTCAATTCAGATATTCTCTCATCCAACACAAATCTCTGCCGTAGTTTCCGTCTCCAATTTTTGGGCCACATCAGATTTTTTGAGGTTACACTCAATCTCGTGTGTCTTGATTTTTTTTTTATTAGTTAAATTTTGACATCTCATTATCAATATTAATATATCAACATATATACAAATTTTTTTTTTTTTACAGATGGCTGTAATGTAATATTCATTTATCGAATTTCACATAATATGCTTGACTTGCCCAATTATTCTATATCCTTTTGAAAGCAACCTTCAAATACCTAATATAACATTTGGCGAAAAAGTGAATGGGGGCCGTGAAATACTCACAAGTTAATACTTCCTCCGTCCCTATGTATAAACTATTTTTTAAAAGTTTATTTTATTTTTAAATATGAGGGGTGATAATAATTTTTTTAATAATCAAACAATTTTACCATTCTCTTAAAAAATAAAATAGATCATTGAATGTATGTTTTTCCTACTACTGTTATAATATTAATTATGATATTATTAAAGGTAAAATTAAAAAATTATTATATTTTTATGTGATTTTAACTAAATAATAAACTTTTATTAATATGTAAAATTTAATTAAAAATATTTTATTTATAAGGACGGAGGGAGTATTATTTTCTTGACCTGAACTCAAATTGGTATGAACTACCAAAAAACATGGCACAAAAAAACAAACAAACAAAGAACAATATGATACAAATATTTGCAAATTTATTAAAGAAACACAAAAAGAAGATTGAACAAGACAAAGAGGAGCATTGAAAAACTCATCCAAAAAATTTTGCAAATTTATTAAAGAAACACGAAAAGAAGATTGAACAAGACAAAGAGGAGCATTGAAAAACTCATCCAAAAAATTTATTGATAAAATATTTTTCATCAATATAATTAAGAAAAAACAGCGATAGGTTTACCGGAAACGGGACCAAAATTATATATAAGATCTGAGTATTTAAAAAAAAACATATACCCTCTATTAAAATATTTTTAAAAAGTTAAATGTTTAAAAATATAAGGTACTTTTAATATTTTAAGGTGTAATTATTATATTTTTTTAAAAAATATCTTTATTGATAATGACTTTATATTTATTGTAGGGTGTTTAATAGAAATAAATATAAAAAAAATAAAATTAGTTGAAAAGTAAATAATTATTTTATTAAGAAATAAAATTTAATTAAAATTTTTTTATATTTAAAAAAGAGAGAGAGAGAGAGTATATGTATACGTACAGGTATAAGAGGTTTTTAAGTTATTGTATTATTTATTGCTCTGATTAAGAAAGGCTGCTTTTTACCGCAGATTCGACAAAGATAGGTCGAATTTCAAACTGAACTCCATCTGTCTCTGACCGTCTTCATTCATTAAACAACGTCAACGTTTGAATTTATGGCATCTTCGTATTTTCAGCACCATGACCAGGGTTAAATATGTAATTTCTAATACCGACTCACATCTTCCCATACTGTCTCCTTCGCACGTGTGATTTTCTCCCACCATTGCCTACACGTTGCAAAGTAAGGTCCTGTCCTCGTATTACACGTGGGAGATTCAGCTGCGTCATCATCTCGATTGCTTCCTATATCCTTAGCAAATTCAAAATTTTACCCATTCCCAACGGTCGGATTGTCCTTCCACCCGCAATCTCGACCGTCCGATCAATAAAACTGTTCGACCTTTAAGCTTACAAAAGCTAACATAACGCCTTTTACAGAGAGCATCTGGACGCAACGAGGCTGACATTTTCTTCCATTTGAGAGAGAGAGAGAGAGTGGCGAAGTTTGATTTTTGAATGTAAGAGCGATTCTACGCTCTCGTGTCGTTTAGCGAAGCTTGAAATTTCTTTAGCTGCATTATTTTTCTCTCGTTTCAAGCTCAATCACATAACTCTTGGTTGAGGATTCTTCTGTGCTTTTTTATGTAGACATACGAGTGATTCGTGTCTGTTTCTCAATCAGTAAACAGAAAGCGTTTCTTGGGCGCGTCTGATTCAGAGTGGTTGTTGTCTCGTGCAAGCATGAATTAAACGACACAGTTTCGTGATTGCTGGTTTTGGAAGCATTGAGAAATTTTAGAGTATTGTGTGGGAGAGAGTTACAGAGATACTGGTGCAAAGCTTGACGATAAAGCCACAATGGATTTTTAAGCTTTAAGGCTAGTGTCTTTGAGGTTGTTTGTTTCTTTATCTATTAGCTTCCTTTCTTGCACCTTGGATCTCCTACTTCAAAAAGTAAAGTTCCATTCTTTTCCTTCCTTTTCTCTGTTTTTTTAAATGTTTTTCTGAACTAACACACACTATATCTCCGCACTCCGGTAGCTAATGGGGTCTCTGATTCTCCTCTTTCTTTTCTGGGTCTCATGGAAGCAGTATAGAAGAAGGAGGAGAAGTAGAGTGCCGTGGCATGATCTGAACGTTGAAGAAGTCAAATTGATTTCGAGGTACCACAAAGAAACAGATTATTATTTAGATTATTTATTTTTTTCAAAATGTATTTTTCTTGTGATGATCCTTATGAGAAATTTAATACACAACCGTAGAAAGAGACATGTATCTTCCCTTGAAAGTAAAGCCTCTCTCCCTGTCTTTACTTATCACAAAACAACTAAGAAGAGCTTTACTTTGCGCAGCCTCTATTGGAATCCGTTGTGGGTCATATCACAATCAAACTGATAAAAGCTCTCACTGCTTTCATGTCATACACTCTCCTTCTCCACCAAACTGCTTCTTCATGGTTGAAAAGTAAAGTTAGTGATTTTTGTCCCACTTTACCGTCATACCCTCTCGCTGGACGTCTTGGTGCCTAACATTTCAAGGGTTTTTTTGGAATTTGAGTTGAAATATCCACCGACGGCTTCTGCGTTGGACGGCATTTTTGCTGCTAAAAGCGATTTCCTTCGTTTTTCCTTTTTTTTTTTTTTGGTTTTTCATTTTCATTACCAAATCCTTCAATTAAGTTAGCCTTTTATTTATTATTATTATTATTATTATTATGGTTGTGATTTTGAGGGGGGCATTGAATGATCACTTGTTAAAGCAATAGAAAAGTCTCGTGGGACATCTCAGGTACAACGGGTTGGTTGGTCGAGTCTTTGTTTTGAGTAAACAAGCTTCGTGTGATGATCTCACACACTTTAAGATTCTCGAAGCTGTTTGATGTAGTCTTTCTTGTTTTTTTTTTTTTTTGGTATCTTTTATCTATAATTCACGAATTTTCTGATTGTAACGGCTCCCCTACTTCCATTCCATCTAACTTTTTCCATGCCAGAACTAATTTTGATAACTTCATCTGTCTTGTGTTCCTCTGGCAGTTCCTTCTTCTCTAACAACAACCATGGTGGTTGAAGATACTAATCATGATGAGGGTCGTTCAACCGAAGAATGGTTGTTTGAAGCACAAGAGCTGGTCCCTCTAGCTCTTGCCAAGGCCAAGGAGGTGAGGAATTTCCCGGGAAGGTGGAAGATGATCGTATCAAAACTCGAACAGATCCCATGTCGTTTATCAGACTTATCCAGCCACCCATGCTTCTCCAAGAACGCTCTCTGCAAGGAGCAATTGCAGGCCGTATCATCAATACTTAGAGATGCCGTTCATTTGGCCGAGCTTTGCATGAAGGACAAGTACGAAGGCAAGCTCAAGATGCAGAGCGATCTCGACGCCTTGTCGGGAAAACTCGATCTACACTTGAAAGATTGCAGCCTGCTGATCAAAACTGGAGTTCTCGGGGAGGCCACCCTGCCATTAGCCATATCAGAAGCTGATGTTTCGAGCAATAATATCAGGGAGCTACTGGCTCGCCTGCAGATCGGTCACTTGGAGTCGAAGCACAGGGCTATAGAGAAACTGCATGACGTGATGAAGGAAGACGAGAAGAGTGTTTTGGCTGTTTTAACTCGCAGCAACATAGCTGCCTTGGTTCAATTGCTCACCGCTACTTCTCCGAGGACAAGAGAGAAAACTGTTACCATTATATGCAGCCTTGCGGAATCGGGAAGCTGCGAGAATTGGCTGGCCTCTGAAGGAGTCATTCCACCTCTGATAAGGCTCATCGAATCAGGAAGTGCCGTCGGGAAAGAGAAGGCTACCGTAACCTTCCAGAGGCTCTCCATGTCATCAGAAACTGCTCGTGCCATTGTTGGACATGGCGGGGTTCGTCCGCTCATTGATCTCTGCCAGACTGGGGATTCTGTGTCACAGGCTGCTTGTGCTTGTGCTTTGAAGAACATATCCTCCGTCCCGGAGGTTCGACAGGTTCTGGCTGAGGAAGGGATTGTCAAGGTAATGATCAGTCTCCTGAACTGTGGAATGTTGTTGAATTCCAAAGAGTACGCGGCTGAGTGCCTACAGAATCTCACTTGCAGCAACGAGAATCTAAGGAGGCTGGTGATATCAGAAAATGGAATAGGAAGCCTTCTAGCGTATCTGGATGTTCCTCTTCCGCAAGAATCTTCAATGGGAGCCCTGAGGAACTTAGTAGGATCCGTGTCCGAGCAGTCTCTAGTTTCTATGGGCCTGCTTCCCCGCTTGGCTCACGTCTTGAAATGCGGGTCCGTGGGGGCACAACAGGCGGCTGCTTCTACGGTCTGTAAAATTTGCAGCTCAGGAGAGATGAAGAAGATGATTGGGGAGGCTGGGTGCGTGCCCCTGCTGGTGAAAATGCTGGAGTCCAAGTCTAATAGTGCTAGGGACGTCGCAGCGCAAGCAATTTCGAGCTTGATGATGCTGTCTCAGAATCAAAGAGAGGTGAAGAGGAATGACAAGAGTGTGCCTAATCTTGTTCAGCTGCTCGATCCAAATCCTCAAAATTCTGCAAAGAAATATGCTGTGGCATGCCTGGGATCGCTTTCTTCGAGTCAGAAGTGTAGGAAACTGATGATCTCCTACGGAGCAATCGGGTATCTGAAGAAGCTCGCCGAGATGGAGATTCCGGGAGCCAAGAAGCTACTTGAGAGATTGGAAAGAGGGAAATTGAGAAGCTTGTTTAGCAGGAGATAGAGATCATGTTTGTTCTTATCTGCTCTTGCTCTTGTTCTTTTGTCTTATCCAATTCATGTTTGTTTCATTGTCTATATGAAACAAACTGGTCTGGAATGGTCAAGTTTGCTTAAATATGTAATATGTTGGACTAATGGCTATATCTAAAAAGCATTAAGTATGGAAAAATATCTTTAACTATTACCGACTTTGGGAACATAGTGCGCTGAGTGGGATATACAACTAAAACATGCAGTACAAATAATAAATATGAATACAAAATTTGCGATCCGAGAATACAAATACAGTAGAAATGGCAAAGTTCATTGAATGTTGGCTAGTCAACCAGTACAGTAGTACTCCTATATAAATAATAAATAAAGATTTCAATTATCAGATTATGCGTACGTTTTTTCAAGGTTAAAGATAGAGGGGCGGGCGTGCCAAATTAGATGGAACAAAACTCAAATTTCTCCCCACAAGTTTTTGGGGCTTTTTTTTTTATAACAAGGAATTATTATAAACCCACTCATATGATATATCATTATATCCACAACATTCTCATATACTTCCTCCATATAAATCACATTCTAAAATGTTGTTTTGGTATTTTATATTAGTTACTTTCTCTTAAAAAGTATTTTTTAGTAAATTTTGAATAGCAGTGTAATATTTTAATTTTCAAGTAAATTTTTTTATCATTATTATCAAACTCTTAAATTAACTTTTTAAGTTTATTATTTTTATGTTTTTAATTTATAAAATCATGTTTATTCGCTTACATTTCAAAAATTCAAAAATTCAAGAGTTGACCTTTGAATTTATTGTTTTTGAAATTAAAGTATGAAACTACCTTCCAAAATTTTAATCAGGCTCACCTTATATTCTAAAATATTCTTTAGAACAATTTCGCCCCAATGTTTTTTATTTAGGTACAATGTGTCACTGGATCAACAGATCTAGACTTTGACCGTTAGTTGACAGTGATTTATTGTGTTGGCAACCACTTAGCAAATGTTTTAGAAATTAGAAAAAATGGAAAACTAATACGTGGGTTGATTATCTTCTTCCTCTTCAGTCTTCATCGCTTTCAATCTTCAGTGACGGCGATGGCGATGAGGAAGGTGTGGTAGCCGTGGCAGCTGAGGTCGATGCGAGCTTCACCAATGAATAGTCAGTATGGCAGAGATGATGTGCTGAGCCAAGGTCGAGATCAATATGAAAGAACGCTTGACTGAAAGAGAATCTGTGAAAGAAACAATCTGTGAAAGAAACTCAACACGAGGGATTTCGTCTCTGCGATGGTCGAGCCGAGGTTTTAATGGTGATGGGTTTGCAGGAGGGAAGAAAGAGAGGGATTTTGTCTGGGTCTTCTAGGTCTTCGAAGCTTCGATCAATTGCATCTTCTGGGTTAAGGTGCGTCCAGCTTGCTTGTTTCAAATCTTACCTCCACTCCAAAGTCCAGTTGCCCAAGTGCGTCGTCTAGCTCGCTTGTACCACGTCGCCATTAGCTTGAGCTTCTCATCTCCATCTATTTCCTAGTTAGGTGGCTTTTGAGCTCACGCACTTTTTCTTCTTGCTTCAATTATGATATCCTTGTTATTGTAGGAAAGTGAATGAACTAGTCATTAGAGTTATGTACAGGCAAGAGGAAATATTTTTCCATTTTCTGGAAAAGAAATTCTTGAGCGTGGATTTCCATATTGAGAAATTGTTGTAAGGCTGTATGTGTTTTTGTAATCTGATGTTTTTGGATGAATATGTTTGTTTTAATTTGATTCGGTAAGCATCACTCCGGTTCTTGTTCACGCTTGATGATCGATGCTGATGATCTCATTTTAGATCTCTTGCTCCTAACTTGTAATCAACTAGGAAGAATGGTCTTCATCAATGATGATGAAGAAGAAGAAACGAGAATCTAGTCTTCTTTGAAATATGAACAATCCCATTGAGCTTGAGCTGAATCACCGATAAGTGGAAGGCCAAAGAGGGAGAAAGTCTCTTTGTTTCAAATGCATCTTCTGCTTCTTTAGGGCTATACGGAATCGATGCCAACAATATGCTTATTTTGTGATTTTCAAGTTTGATTAAAGAGCAATATAGTGTCCCAAATCTAATATATGCAAGAGAAATTGATGCATGTTTGTGGCGGGATCTGATCAGGTTCGATGGCCAGTAATGGCGGAGAGGGAAGAGAGAGAGGGAAAGAGTAATGGAGAAGGGGACGATTTGGGCCAAGGAAAAAACAAAAAAAAAAAAACATGAGGTGGCAGTCCAGATGGCAAAAAATGGTCAAGATTTCAATGATAACAGTCAAATCAATTAGAGTGTAACAGCAGGGCGACATCGTACTTAAATGAAAAATGTTGGAGCGAAATTGTTCTAAAGAATACTTAAAATATGAGATATGAGGCGTGTTTAACTGAAAACTTAGGGAATATTTTTATATCTTAACCTTTATTTTTATATTTTTAACTTATAAAAATATGTTAATTCATTTAAAAATTTGAACTAAATACAAATTTAATTAAATTTAATAAACTCATCAATTTTGAATTGACTTTAGTGAGTTAGGAATATAATATATAGAACTCACTTTATAAAAGCAGTAGGAGCTAATTTAAAAAAAAATAAAATTTAAAAATCAATTACTAGTATTAATAACAAAAGAAAACAAGAAATACAAAATAATAAGGGTTTATTTAGCAACATGTTCTGAAACAGTTTTATGTTCTTAATATATATATATATATATATATATGATAACTTGTTTTTAGAAGGTATTTTAAAGAATAAAAAATTAAATATTATTATGGAGAACAGAAAAATAAAAATATATTTTAGGTATTTTAATATTATTGTTTTGAAGAACATAGAAAAATGCAAAAAACACTTTTTTCTTCATCAATTCTTTTTATTCTCATAATATGTTCAACAAAATATCAACTTTTAAAATAATGAAATAAAAAAAATTTTAAGTAAATCTTAAGTTGTCCTATTTTAAAATTTATGTTGGCTGTTGAGTATTATAATCTATCAATGTAAATTAATTTACTTTCAATCATCTATATTTACAATGTATTTAAATTAAATTATAATCATATTTTATATTTTAATTATTTAATTATATACTTTTAATTAATTATTCATTAATAAATAAAATTCTTATGAGTTTATAATCTGAGTTTATATTTTCATAATAAATTTATTTAAATTCACAAGTTGGGCAACTTTGCTTCCCACACATCAAATCACTTTTTTTAAATGTAGGAATAAAATTAAAAAATAATTTATTTTTAAAATAATTTTATTATTTTGATGAGTGAGTTTAAAGCGATTTATAAAAAAAAATCGAAAAAAGTGAGAGAAAACTCGTGCATTGAATAAGACTAAATATATACTTTTTTTTGCATTAATTAATGTGGATTACAGCTAATCATGCTTCGTAATGTGTGGATGTGCTTGATTTATGAGAAAAGGTTTTTCATGTCGCGTTTGCAACCAAACATTTTTATTTATTGGGCGCGCCAAAATGTGACCCTAACATGTGGTATCCGAGCCCTCCATTTTGTGCTGGAATGATCTTCGTGTTCTGCTTTTTAGTGACCAATTGGGTCACCATTCTCCCAAGTCACAACACACTGACGCTATGCACCAATTTATCCTTTTCTGATAAAACTATTTTATTTGGGAATGTTATTCTACATTTTATATGCCTAATATTAATAATTCACATGATATTATTATTCAAATTTTAACAAAATATACTATTTATATATATATATCGTCAGTAGCAAGATTATTTTCCTTATATATATTTAATTTGAAATTATAAAAGTTCAATAAATTTTAAAAATACTTTCATATATAAGAAATTGAGAATATTCAAATCAATACTTGATTTTCACATGCAATGATGCCTCATCATCATTCTTTATTTTTTATATTAGAAAATTTGAAGTCAATTAGCTCAAGTGCTTTAAAAAATACAGTTCCCGTGAATTATATATGAAATTTTTAAATATTGTAAAATATGATTTGTTTATAAACATTAATTAGATGTAATTTTTTATATTCTCAAAATAAATATATTATTAAAACACAATATATCTCCTTTAATTAATCTTTAACTAATTGAATTGTGTGTTCATAATTGTTCTTTCATCATAGAGGAAGAAAGTCTCACATGCTAATACTTTTCTCCTCCCCCCTCTCTATTTTTTCCCAGATATATTATGAAGGTAAGATTTGACATTAAAGAATAAAGTCTATCATCAAATTTGGCATTATACATTGCATATTTCAAGATTTAAATTGAAGTTATCTTATATTCTATTTTATGGAAGTTGAATAGCATTGTCTATCATCAAATTTTCATGATCTTCATTTATCTAGGTACTATTCTCATTGAATCAATCAATCATTTATTCATAATCTATTATTTGTTATTATTGATCATGAAATTTGTTTGAATTACTAACAGAAAATATATATTATTCTGTTATTGTTTATGATTTTTTCTTTCATTATCTTAAGTATTTAATTTTCTATGATAAGTTAAGGTGCCTAAAATTTTACAAACCTAGTTTGAGATATTTTGGACAAATGATTATGTTGTTTTTGTGTTTTTGATTTATGATAGTATATCAATAATATATAAATGATATATCATTGATATACTTTTACAGATCAACATAACTGGATAATCAAACATAAACCTGTTTATCATTGATATACAAACGAATATCAATGATGTAATATCACATATCAGTAACACAAAAACACATAATCATTTATTTAAAATGGATCAAACACAATCTACAAAAATTTTTATAGCTTTGTTTCTTTGCTAACATGCTTTATTTCATCGAGTATTGTGGATGTCTTTTGCCTCACACTTGTCTCTCACTATCATGACTATGACTCATTCACATTGCTTTGCTTTCTCCCATCTTCAAGTTTGGTCTATTTATTTCTTTTATCGTAATTATAGCTTGCATTTGTCTTTCTCGTTCATCTAATTTCTAGCATTTTAAATCTAATATTTGCAAAAAGTAAGGTGTTATAATTTTAAAAGCACAATTTTATAAATTATATATCAATTAAATATTAAAAAAATTATTTTTAAAATTTTAAAAAATGTTATTTTTTTATTTGATTCTATAACACGAATTATATATGCAATAGCCTCAAGAATATGTGAACGTTAGACGGCGTTGCAGCAAAGTCTTAATCTAAATGTTTGACTGAACAGATAAAATCAAATTCCATGCCATTGTCGAACATTTGAAAATATATTTTGCTTGTCTGCAAGAAAAGGAGAGGGGCAAACAAGCCCTTATCAGTTATCACAGCCTGATTGATTACAGAGAGAAGCAACAAACAAGACACGAAAAGCTGACGTTTGAGACTTGAGAGTTGGGAGGGAGAAACCCAAAGGCTAAGGCTCTCGCTGAAACATCCACAGTGCGATTGTGATTGTCGAGGCTGTTTTAGCGGGCACTTCTATCGGTACTCTCTCTTTCTCTCTCTCACACGCACACACATCTTCCCTACGTGCGTTGTTTGATTCAGTAAGTAGGATCGGGAATTCGCCATCCCTAGTTGTTTGATTCTTTACGTTTGCAGTTTGAGGTCTAAAAATGGCAACCTATGGTACTCTGTTTCCCAATTTCTGATTTCGTGTGTTAATCGAACTCTGAATTGAGGGTGTGGAAGTAGGTTCTTGAAATTTTCTTAGGTTGCTTTATTGGATTTGTGGTGTTAGGTGTTCATTTTCCCGAGGTTTGTGTCTTCGTGTATATCATTCATAGGATACTTAGTTTTCAGGAAATTAATGGAAAGGAAGTGGGAAATTGAAATTTCTAAGCTCATGATTCATAGGGTTAGTGAGAGTAAAGGAGTCCTCTCATTGAATGATTGGTTTAATTGATGACAACTTCACTAACACAAAGCTGGGATAAATGGACTCTAAAAGCATTTGTTCATGATTAAGTGATTTTCCATCAACGTTGGGTTTAACTGGATGAATATTTTTGTCTCACCACAGAGATATCTTAGTTGATCCTGAACAAGAATCATCTTTCGACAAATTCAACAGTTGAATTGAGGGCTGGTTCAGCAGTGATACGCAACGAGCCTATTTTTGCCGTTCTTGTTCTTGTTTATTTGTCTAATATTTGAGTCTTTGAATGAAGATGGATGGAGAAACTAAATGAAAGAAAAAATTTTTTGGTATTAATTTGAATTCTAAGGCTATTCGTCATGGTTCCTATGTTTTGGAGGGATGTAAGTTGTCAGATGCCAAAAATACAAAATTGCAAGAGGCAGACATGATATGGCGGAACTTGAAAGGATATAATGTATGCTGATTTTTTTCCCCATGCTTATTATGGTTTCTTGATGTAGGTGGAGGTTTTATAGGATTTCTTAATTGTCAATCCCAGAATGTCTGTCAGGGTACAGAATTTACATCGTTGAAAGATAGTTTGTTATTTTCCTTTTCAAAATATGTGTATATTCATATTCTTGTCTAGTAGTTGAGTTCCCAAATTGATTCGTGGTACCTTTTCATTGAAAGAAACTATGTTTTCATTCTTTGTCAAGTAAAATGGATTTCTGCATATGTAAACTTCTTAGCCCTCCTGCTTAATTGATGCGGAGGATAGCACCCTTAGATTTCCATCCCCCTCCTTTTCCTGATTTAGCGGAAATGAACTGTTATTTTGATTTTGCTCTACAGCTCCTAAAATTGTAAAAGATGAGTACACTGGATGCCACCAGGGCAGAGCTTGCTCTTATTGTTTTATATTTGAACAAGGCTGAAGCTAGGGACAAGATATGCAGAGCTATACAATATGGTTCCAAATTTTTGAGTAATGGGGAACCCGGTACTGCCCAGAATGTGGACAAACAAACGAGCTTGGCACGGAAAGTTTTCCGTCTATTCAAGGTTTTGTTTTGTGATTTTAAATTTGCGGAAGTTTGGAATTCATCTGATGATTTGTTGCTTTTTTTAATCATATATTTATTTCTTTTTCCTCCTGCTTGGGTAATATGCTACCTGCTATTTATTTTAGCGAACTTCTTCCCCTTGAATCATCTTTTTCCCCACACATCCTCATTGATTAATTGATTTATCCATATTTCATTAACTATATTGTTTAGTTGCTCTAGGACAAAACTGGAAAAGGCTATCGAAAAGAATCTCACAATATTTTATTATTTTATCCCTTTGTAACGTTTAAAGGGAATTTTTGCATGGTTAAAGATGGAGAAAATCAGTTAATTATTACCTAATTATTTCATATGTTTCACCCTGCAATGTGCAGTTTGTCAATGACCTGCATGCTCTGATAAGTCCTGCCCCACAGGGAACTCCGCTATCTCTAGTTTTGTTGGGAAAGGTATCAATTTTCTAAGAATATTCCACCTTTTTAATTCTTTTTTTGCTTTATTGTTCCTGATAACTTGTTTGATGGCACTTTTTAGTCCAAAAATGCATTATTGTCAACTTTCTTGTTCCTCGATCAATTTGTGTGGCTTGGTAGATCTGGCATTTACAAGGTGGGAAGCTCAACTTTTTCCAGGCATTGAATTGTTTTTTTCTCTGTATTATCAACATGAGAATATCATCCAGCAGCATATATGATTTTTGTTTTCCAACTACAGAAAAAAGAACATACTGAACTAATTGGACGGATATCTCTTTTCTGTTGGCTGGGCTCCTCAGTGTGTACCACCTTAGTTGAGGTACGTGACTTTTGTGTGGCTTAATTGTTCACATCAATAATTCCCTCTTAGTCCTTTACATGACATAATTACTGCTCAATGTATCAGCTTGGCGAGCTTGGAAGACTCTCAGCATCAACGAAGAAGTTAGAGAAAGAACTCAAGGACAGTAACAAATATAAAGTATGTTTTGGCACTCTGTTTATGGGCTCTCCAAAGTTTCTGTTTTATGTTTACCATATTTATCAATGTCTTCCTTTTCTGTCCTTTGTCGTATTAAATTAGAACTCTGTTGATGCAGAATGAGGATTACCGGGCTAAATTAAAAAAGTCAAATGAGAGAACTCTAGCACTTATCAAAGCTGGAATGGATATAGTGGTAGCAGTTGGGCTGCTTCAATTGGCGCCTAAGAAAGTCACTCCTCGTGTGACTGGGGGATTCGGATTTGTTTCATCGCTGATATCTTGCTACCAGGTGCATACCAGTATGATTTTTTTTTTTTTTTTTTTTGCTTCCCTTTGTGCTTCTGTTTTCATTTGAGAAATCTGAGGTCCTTTAAAATGCATGTCAACCACGCTATCTATGCGTAGACACGCACAGCAGCACAAGTGAGAAAACAAGGGTAAAATCACGGTCATCAAATCATGAATTTGGATATCATATTTCCGTGAAACATCAAATTGGAAGGTTCGATAACAAGTGAAAAATAGCTTGAATTATGAAACATGACAAGTATATCTTTATATGTGTAAAATACTCAGAAAAAATGCTTAAACATAAGTCATATTTATTAGTTCATTGGCTATCTAAATTGGAAGTACTTAATTCTTGAAATAATCTCAGATAATATCTCTCTTTCTTTATGAGAGGCGTAGGCAATACTTAACAAGAATGTAGCACTGTCAGTCTGTCACGCCAAATTGTCATTTACATATATTTCTGAATTGCAAACTCATTCTATTCTATCATATTGGCTTGAATTGAGCAATTCATAGCCCATACAGTCATTGATTCATACCGCTGGTTGCGTAAGTTGTTATGAAGCATAATATTTGAATTGCAGATCTGACAATTTAGAGCTATTTCAGATATAGCCATCAAATCACATTGTTGGTCTTTTTTGAGTTGCAATGAACACTTGCGTTTAGGACATTCTAGTTCACTTGAAACTTCTAGAGAAATTTGTATGCCCTTTAGACTGTTTGAGGGATCACACCGTATTTGTCTTTTATTGCAATTTATGCTGAGATTTTTTCACTCCTTACTGACAAGGATTCATTCATGTTTTGCCCAAATGCAGTTGCTTCCTTCCCCTGTCAAGTCCAAAACCTCGTGAAGATGGAAGAGCAGACTCCCTCTTATCGTGCTTCGATATGATTAAATAATTATTCACATTTGTCACTAAATGTTTGTTCATGCGAACTTTGAGCAATATGCTGACTAGTAAGGAGTCTTTAAAATGCCATCACAGAGAATGCCTATATTGCCATGGTTTGCATTTCCTTATAAATAGAAATGATGTCTGCTTGGCTCTTAATTTGTTTGGTGGAAGCTTAGCGACAAACAAATTAGCAACGAAGGATTTGATCAAACATGAGTGAACGCCTATTGGATACTGTTGATATTAGAAATATGGTGTGTGATAGAATGACCAATAGGACTATGTCGTAATTGATGAGCATGGATAGTCTAATGGAAGAACCCTTATTTTTGCTTGTGAGGTCAGAGCCTTACTGATAAGAGAAAGCATGGCCATCTGGTCGCCAGGCTGAAGGTGGCAGGATGAGGTTCAAGTTGAGTAGAAATATTTTGATATGGGAAGATAGTGTGGATTTGTTTGGGTTGTTGGATTGGGGGTGTTGAGATAGGGCATGGCGGACACGAGAACTTGTGCGCATTGACAGGAATTTTAGTCCCTATTTGGATGCTCTTCATAATCAATTTTAAAAAGACAAAATCATTGTTTATTGAAAATGTATTAAAAAATTCCTATTACATGTTTTGAAATCCAAAGTTATGAGTTTTTTTTAAAATATTCAAATATATCTATAAATGTTAAAATTAATTATGAAGCCAAAATTATAATTTATAAAATAAGGTCTATATGGTTTTTGAATACTTTTTTGCATAACTGTAGGGGCTATAGAAAAAATTGATTAATTTGATTGATCTTGAATATGTTATGTAGTGTAGTGTACAATTAATTTATAAGATTGGTTTCAAGGAGAAATGAAAATTAAATTAAAAATCAGGTAAAATTATGATTTTTGAAATTATATTTAAACATGATGTTGCATATCAAAATCAATTATAAATTTAAAATTATATTTTTTTTTGAAAAATACCCAAACATCCATTATTCACATTAATCAAGAACCCAAAACTTTATTTTTTTTAAAAAAATATCCAAATATTTTTAGACATGCTAAAATCAGTTATTAGTTCAAAATGACAGCGCATCTCAAAGTAAACCATTATTACCCTCTTTTAAATTATACTTTTTTATTTTATCCAAAACATACTATAAACTACATTACAAATACGTTTTTGGATTCATGATTATTTCTTTTAATTAACCAAAAGTTCTCCCATAATTGAAATTCATAAGACCAATCCTTCAAGAAATTTGAATATCATTTGAGGAGTTCATAATTAATGTTTCATAATTAATTTTAACACGTATAATAAATGTTCAGATAAATTTAGGAAAACAAGATTTTTAAACTCCTACTTGATTTTCACATGTAACAAGAATATTTAAATATATTTTTATAAAATCATAATTTTGACTTCATAATTGATCATGGATAAAATACAGACAAGTACTAAAACATAATAATAATTTATGAAATTTGACATGTACATAAATATTTAGAATATGTTTGGATTTAAATATAATAAAAAAGATAAAGATCAATAAAAGTATGATCATATAAAAATATATCTAAACATCAATATTATTTATCAAAATTAATTATAAACTCAAAATTAAAATTTTCTTAAAAAATCCAAATACCCTTACTAGAATCTGTTGTAAATTCAAAAACAATTATCTCATATGTTACTATTACCCATTTTTCAATTCAACTTTTTAATTATACATTTCAAAAAATTTATTCAAAAATCATAAATTATTTTACAAATCATGTTTTTCAATCCATGATTGATTTTAACATGCATTACATGTCAATGATTATAAACAAAAGCAACTCCGATTCTTCGTCGTGTAAGGATTAGTCAATTTGTTCTTGAATACGCTTTCCGTTTTTGTTTTCTATTAAACTATCTGATGTTCAAAACCGAAGCCCTAATTTAAATCGAGTCAGGTAAAGAACTTTACAGGCAAAAAACCTCCCACCAAAAAGTTATTACAACTTTCAAAATTCAAACTCAAGACCTCCAATAAACAGTTACAACTCCCTTGCACTTTCCTTTTTGTATAAAATGTTTAATTCATTCAAATAAAAAATGCACATTACTATGGTAAAATACTATCTAATTTTTGAAATCATACTGGGCCGAACTAATTCAATGAACCAAGTTGGCCCACAAATGCTTTTTTTTTTTCCTTGGTAGAATCCAAACTACAACTGAAAAAAAAATTGCATTACCATAACCAGCTGCTTCTTAAGATAAAAATTACATTTAGCAATGTCAGAAGTGCAACACAATTGTTAGACAATTCGAAATAAGCGACAAAATGCCCTTGTCATCTAGAAACAAACCAATGCATGCCAAGAAACAATGCAGAAAATTCTTTGACGGCCTTTAGAAAGCCCTAAAATATTTAAACCACGGCCAAAACATCATTGTCAAAGTCATTTGAAACCTTATTCTGTTATTTTGTATCTATTTCCAGAAAACCCTATATTGACTACTAAATGTTGAGAATGGAAGGAAAAATATTCATAGGCGACTAGTTAAACAAATCTTCACAGCCATTTGGCATACAGAATATGAAAAATAAAAGCTAAAACAGCAATTTTGGAGTTAAAAATATCCGTATCCTCCTTGACACCAAACGGGCATTAAGCTTATGAAAGAAATATGGATATATTATATAATCAGTGCATTGTGTTATAGTATGGGTCACAGCTAATTTGGACGTTTTCTTTAAATTCATTTTTACCTAACTGAGAAAGTCCCAAGTAATTTTGGTCTCCATCTGCGAAATGCAAAATACGTTTTTGACCCCCATTGATAATTAGACAGATTGTTCTGCAAATATCAACCAGAAAAGTATATGCCTAAATTAATTCAGAAATTAAACCACGAAAAATAAACTAAACTTCAATTTCAACGGGAAGCATTTAATTAAAGGCTACACAAAAGACAAAACGGCTAACGATTTCAGTGTGCAACCAAACCATACCTGGAGAGATACCATCACCATGTTCTCCTTTTCTTTATTGTTTTGGGAGGGAATTACAAAAGCACTTAGTAGGCATAACAAAAGATCAAAGGGCATATGCTTCTTCAAAGTCTTCAACTTCATCATCCTCATCCCAATCATCTTCTTCGACAACCTCTACTACATTTTCCCGCAACATTGTCACAATCTGTCGAACATCTCTAAGTCGCCTCTGAATATAGTCGTCAGGGGATATTGCACGAGACTCAATAGAAAAAGCTGGTTGAGCGGGACACTTAGCAAGCTGATCACACTTGAGCACAAATGCCCCAGAAGATGGTTCGCGAATTTCAACAGTAAATGCAGGTGACAATGGGCGGCCCACAACTTTAACATGAGAGACACTGCAATCACAATTTTCTTCAAATTAGGGGATTCTGAAATGCCATCTGCAATACAATCATAATGGTACACTAATGGACGCTTCAATAATTTAAAGGTTGAATCTCAGGCTAACTAAGGACAACTATCACAATTTATGCACAAACCTATGCAAAATGGAACTGGGAAAGGACAAAAACTACAAGAAAGCTCATGAATTCCAGTTATGCTGCTAGAGTATCACCATTCTGCCAATAAGCTTATTCTAATACTAAAATGAAACACATGATCCTCTAATAAGAGCAAAATCATACTTTTTTTGGATTCAGATTAGATTAGGTATAAATGTTATGTGGTCCAGGTCTGGGTGAATTGTTTTCACTCAATACAGAATTAGGTCTGGCAACAAAGCAATCCTTAACATAAACTGACTCACATAAAATAAAATAAAATAAAATTCAGATTAAATGGAAATTCAAAAATTATTCAGATCCCAGTCTTCATAATAAAGTTTTCAATCTACGTGAGTGTGGAACAGGAAGGCAAGGCAATCCTTAGACTAAACCTGACCCATTTACAATTTTACATCCCCAAAAAATTGATGAACATAAATTTCCAAAGTAGTTTGTGATTTTTCTACAAAGTTTACCATTTCTCAACATGACACAACGACAAGCCTAGGAAAACAGGCATGAAATGAAACCAAAACAAAAGTGTCAGCAAAAGTAGCAAGAGAAAAATTCAAGCTTCCTTTGATATGCATATAAATAAAATGGCACCATGCAGACCCCACAGAACATAAGGGAACATAAGGCATATGTTGATGGACGTTGACCAAGATGATCGTTACATATATGGCACCAACCCAATGAGGAAAGAACAAAAGCTACCAGCTGAAAGTGCTTTCATTTACTTTAAGAAGAGTATATAACAACATACACAGAAAAAACCTGCCCCCCAACAAGGAAAACAAAGAGCCTCAAAGGGATGAGGTATTGTATTTGTACCACACTTCTAACTAACTCCAGCTAGTATTTTAGAGATTAGAGTTCATGATGTGCCACATTACTTTTACAAGAAGGAGAAATAAAATCGAATGAAAAACTATTACTGCAACTCTATCAATGAAAAAATGAATACGGATGGAACACACCAAATGTAGAATAAGTTGTCCATTTCTTGTCTCTGAATCCTTCCCAAAAGCTCAATCTGCAAGATACCACCAATACAAAGCACTGGTTCTGGAAGCTTGAACTTCTGTAACTGGTTTTCCTGCACTCAAAGAAATTCTTCTCAGAAATGAATGATGTTACAAAGGGAAGTTCAAGCAAAGATTTGTAAGAAAATGAAGTTAATTATTCTACCACATAAGATTTCTCTCAACTAAATCAAGATAGAGAAATTTCCAATTCAGGCACAAGTTTATTCTACCATACTCCAGCATTATAAAGTACAGGCACTTCACAAACACTTGTATCATACACAACACATTATCATGCAGCGCTTTACATTACATGTAGACACTTTAGATTTTGTCGTGTTACCTAGTAGTGTCCATGTCAGTGTCTGTGCTTCCTATGTAGGATTGCTCATAAACCTGAATCAAGTTTGACAAGAGGCGTGCCAATGGCCTTTGTATTTTGTGCTCAAAAGTCAAAACACAGTCACTAATTCTCTCTGACATAGACCTATCACATGGGCCAAAAATTTAAAGGACTCAAATATGACATTAGTACCCCTGGGGTGGGTGGTTTGCCAAGACCTGAAACAGTAAATTTCCAAACAACCTACCAATTATCTTAAATCCTACAAGGATGGGCATAGGACTACCTATGTGATTGTCAGAGACAGATGCACTTAAAAGTATTCAATTTTCTCATTTACCAAAAAGAAAAAGGAATAAGAAAGATGAGCGTAGTGTTATATGCTTTCTCCTTCACAACCTGAGATACTGTCCAGTGTCCACAAAATAGATGTTTATCTTATCAATTTATTCGCACTGGTTGTAATATACACAACTACAATAATCTTGATTCAAAGATTCTCCACTTGGTATTAAATGCCTTCTGTTTGATTCAGTCACCAATCATCTTCAAGAAAAATTCGAAAATGAAAGCTTTATCCAACATCCTCATTTTTGTATAATATATCCTTGCTAAACCACAGAAAGCCCAAATCAAGAGTAATAATGCATTCATATAAATGAATCGCCAAAATAGCATACTATAGCTATAATCCAACAGATTTCCAGCCACATAAGTAAGGCTCATCTGGCCTTCCTTAAAGCATCTGCCATAAGGATAGCTCTCAGTTCATTACAGCTATTGCTGTAGTCATATCTTACATGGTATGCACTGACTTAGCTGAATTATATGCAACATGTATCATATTTACTGACTCATTTATCATTCCCCCGGCCTCTTCAGTCAAAAGCATCGCCTAATGGAAAAAGGAGAGTTAAAAGCTGGGAGTTAACAGGCTATTAAAATGAGAAAATTTTATTATTCAGGACAGCCTCCATTACACAATCATGAAACACAAAAAGTGACCAGAAAAAGGAAAGCTTCGCAAGCAAAGTATAAATTGTATTTAAAATCAAGTATCATATCCTATGAAACAAATGAAGCATTCAGAGGAAGAAGAAGAAAAGCATGGGAAATAGATAATGTTTGAGAAGAAAATTCCATACCTGAGCCATTGGAAACTCCGGAGAAATGTAAGTCCATACATACTTTTCATCAGCAGAAACATCTAAAGAAGGATTAGGATGACCCATTTTGATTCGAACAGATTTTGCTGAGTATATAGGAAGCCCTGGCTGAAAAAAAGCTGAACATGAAAAACAATATCATTAGTAAAAAGCTTAAAAAAGAAAATCAAATGAAGCTAGCACGAAGTTTGTGAAGCTTCAAAACAGTACCTTGGAAAGGATGAACACTAATTTCCGTAACAACACAAATTGAGCAGTCCAGCTTGTATGTTAGTGTCTCAGGTACATCAGGATTTTTTTGCCCTTTACTGGACCAGTACGAAGCTCTCCCACCGATATTGTCCCTTGCCTCTAATGTATTATCAATGCTTTCCTCTGGAAAATTATCAGTGCTGGAAGCACCAATTGTCTCTCCAATGCAATCCACAATAGCAAATGATGTGCAGGCTCTAGCTAAATAAGCATAGACTCTATGGTCCTTTTCCAGAGCTTGCCATTCCATAGAATAGCTAGATCCAACTTCAGGTTCCTTTGCTCCATTTTTATTCAGTTCAACGACATATGAGGCTCTAGATAATTGAGGAAACATTCTCAAGCATAGCTGTTTGCAAAGACCATTTCTAATCACTGCAAATCAGTGTACTAGAAAATCAGTAGAAATAACATGTTAGTGAATTTTAGTTTCCACAGAATTTTTATGAAATGACTGACTTTTCATTTTAGAGAAAAAGGAATTTTATCTGGGTGACAGTAGCATACGAATGGACAAGGGCAACAAGATGTCCTCCAAGACAGACCAAATACAAAATCAAGAAAGTATAAACAAACAACACCAGCATTCAGAATCCTGATGCACGTACCAGAATAACTGACACGGAGCCCATTGAAAATTGCACCACATAAAAGGCAATAAATTATGATATCCCATGGTAAGGAAGAGACACAGATTTGTCCTCAAATGCTATCATTATGCCCAACCAATGAAAATTAACAAAAAGAAAATACATATTAAAGCCATGGAAACACACAACCTTTAGGTTCCATTTGGTACTTTATATGATTTTTCTCCAAAGTTGAATGTCTTAACTTGGTCCACAAGATATTATGTCTTATTAGTTCATTTAGCGGAATGTCTAATCTATCCATCTAATTAATTTTACTGTGTATTAGACGTAAATACATGCAATTCTTATTTTGTAGTCTCAACATAAGATGGGGCCTACCCTTTGTCCTTAATAATGCATGCACATAATATAAACTCATAATTCTGATACATGCTCTCCATGTCATAAATAATTCGAACAGTGTTAGCTGGCACAGAGAGTAGGTTCTACTAAGCTCTCACTAAAATGTGTACTTATACTTGATAAGCATTGCAAGTTAGGCTGTTCACCATTTCCATTTCAAATGCATAAACACTAAAGAAAGACTAATATTTTAATAGAAAGCTGATATTATTAATAACTTTTCAAATTTATACAATTTTTTGTAGTTAAAATGATTTTGACAATATAAAAACCCTCTCTTATCACCGAGTCCCTAATGAGATTGTGTTATCTGTCTTATCTTATTCTATAAATGATTGTTCAGATCACCAATATAAACAATACACCATCAAGAATGTTTGACAAGCACACACTCTTGTCTAAGACAATATTCAACACACAATTTACATCAATGAGCAAATAAATTAATGGGGAAAAATTGAAGTTTGGTCATGTATGCCATAAACTTCATTGCAAGGTACGCATACAAATAGAAAGCACATATACTAATAAGTTAGGAAACAGAACAACTTCCATTGTAATAATTCTATCAGAAGGCATACAAATGTGGTACGGGTGTGATCATGAATGCTTTAATCTTCTTACAAAGTTGCATGTGAAAATCATTAGCATACTGAGGTTAAAATTTCCTAAAATACATGAAACAGAAAAAGAATGCGAAGCATAATCTTAGTAGGGTTGATTTATCAGATGACAAACATAATGTAAAATGCATAGACTAAAGCTGATGTACTCATAAAAATGAGATTTCAGCCAAAATTAAATGTAAAAGCAACTGGCATAGCTCACCATAGTGTCGCCAAGACCGCGAGACACAACTAACTCGGACAAGGTCAGACGGATCATCCAGACACATGAGAATCTTGTGCGACATGTCAGGATCAAGCCAATAGATGAAATCCACAGAAGAACCCATATTATGGCGGTAGTGTATAAGAAATAACAAGTTCTTATACAAACCTGAGAACCTGGACTGGCACCTGAACAAAATTTCCACAATTAGCACAGTTCACTCCGAAGTGGAACAGAAAATGATTTTTAAAATTTTTACAATTAGACAGTTTGTGTTTACTAGTTGTTATATTGGATTTCAGCCATGAAAGATATCAAAATTAACGCACATAAAATACTTATCCTCTCCCAAACAGCATAATTTTAGTCCTTTTATTTGTTGACACGTATAAGACAGCAGTGGGTAATTTAATTTCAAGTCTACAACAACCCAGGCTAACAATCGAGGTATGAGAAATATCAGAAAAATGGCTCCCCAGAATACGAAGAATCAATTCGCTTAGAGAAAAGAAACGAAGCGAAATATTAAATGAACAGAGAAATTCAATCATTTACACTTGAAAAAAAATTAAGCAATTGGTCATAAATTTCACGTACTTTGAAGGCAAATCCTAGACCTTAGTGATAATCCGAATTCATTCGATAACCAGAAAAAATGAAAATTCGAAACAAGAACAAAAAATGGAACGCAGATCAAAAGGGGCCTTCAATTGAAATTCGAGAGTGAAAAAGAGAGTGAAGTACGGCAATGCTCACCGTCGTCGGTGTATACCTGCACGTCCGAAAAAGAAACCCTAAAAGGAAGACATGAAATTGAGGGACAGAGAGGATTGCTGGTGACGGGAGGAAGGAGGAGGGAGAGAGAGATGGCGTATGAGTGGAAGAAAAAGAAGACAGCCCTGGTAAGCCAGGCTTGTTTTTAATATTTGCAAACTATTATTATAAAATTAAAAAATAGTGAATATGATCTTGGGAGAATCTCACTTAAAGCGTCTAAAACATAAAAAGTTTGCATTACTGGTCCGATAGAATCTAAAAGCGCACGGTAGGCTCGACTGCTCGAGAGTCTTTCTTATAAATTTTATTACAAATAAAAATATGTAATTGCCCTTATCTAAAAGAATATATCTATATATGTACAATACAATATTTAAAATTTTTAATATTATATTCATGAATGCACGACACATCTGATAAACATGATTTAACTCAAAAAAAATGTACAAATAAGTAAATAATAAATAATACAATGTCTATGAATACACAATATAATGTCCATCAATTCCAAATGAACATATATAGACATGCAACATTTGTGTCACAGTGTCCGTAATAAATAACATACTTTTATTGAAACAATTTACTTTAAGTTAATGTTAATTAGATATATTATGTATTCATAAACATTAAAATTTATAGACGTCGAATTGTGCATGCATGAATATTTTATTAAGATAAAGGAAAATTCACAACAAAATTAACAAAAAAAGTTCTCAAGCCTACAGTGCGCTTTCAAAGTCTATTAAATCGACGGTGCAAATTTTCATATTTTAAGGGCCATAAGTGAGAGTCTTCCTATTATATATGTTGGTCATTGACAATACAATTATTTTCCATGTCAAAGAATCACACGTCATAAAAAGCATGTCAATCCCATCAATTGTAATGTTTATTTTATATTTCGCAGCAATTATTATTGGTTTTAATAAAAATTAAGTAAAAATAAAAAGATATATACAATATAAAAGTGATGATAGAATGTGCGTGCGATTTAGTTTATATGTGTAGAAACCATGAACAAATAAATTAGACAAGAATTCGATAAGGAACATTATGAAAATTAATAGTAATAGAAAAATTAAAAAAAGTATAAGAGAGATATCAAAAAATGAAAAGAAATAAAAAAATCATCAGGATTGTGAATGTGAAGGAGGTGGCAGGAGATTTTTTTTTATTAGTTTGCTAAGGACATATATAAAATATAAAAAATTGGAGGAGGGCAAAATAATTATAAAAATTTAACACCCATCCAAAAAAACCTCAATTTAAAGGAGCTCAAAATGAGGAAAGAGGAGGGGATAGACATTTTGGCTTCCCTTCCCTTCCTTTCAAATTTTACAAATCAAATAAGAGACCTCCCCTGTCTCATCCAACCAAACATACTTTAAAGATGATATATTTTTAATATTTTATTTAATAAATTTAATCTATATGATGGAGTTTTAATTCATTTTATCAAAAGATCATGTTTAACAGTTCTTTATTTTTAGTATAATGAAGTAATTTTATAATATTTATTTTTTAAAAAATAAATTATTTAACTGTCATATTATATTAAAAAATACTAGGATCTTGGCATATAGAGTATCATCAATTAATAAGTCTTCAGGGAATAAACGAAAAATTAATATCTAGAATTGTAACTCCATTCAAATTTCAATTTTAAAATATTACTTTCTACCCTTAATGAGAAACCATCATTTATAACTAATATGATGCGGCACAAATGATGATTAACAGAGTTATGGCATCTTTAGTTCCTATTCTCATTTAAAAAAAAAAACTATTTGATAATACAGGTTTCAAAATTATTCTTAAAACAAAATGAAATGAAAATTTGTTTAGTTACATCAATTAAAAAACAGTCTTAGAATTAAAAAATAGACTGATAATAATGATTATAGGTAGTTAATGATGGTGATTGATGATAAAAATTAATTAAGGTAACTGTAATTTTAAATAATCAAATATAGTATATTTTAAAAATAAAAAAATAAAATGAAAACAACTTGAAGTTGTTCCTATTTTTATTTTTAAAAATAAAAATAATTTTTAAAGACAGAAAATAAACAGACCTTTAAAATTTACTTTTGTGTCATCCACATTTTATGCAGATAGCAGCAGCAAAAAGTTTAGTTCAAGTTGTATGAAGATGCTATTGCCTATTGTAAAGAAATATTCCGCGACCATGATAAAAAAATGCAGGAATTTCTAGGGACTAAACAAACTTTTCATGGAAATCATGATAGCAGAACGGCAAAAGTAAATAAACAAAGAGGGATAACTTCGGAGAGAAGGAGAGGAGAGTTTGAAAAGGGAGAATCTCTCTTTGTTTTTTTTTTTTTTTTTAACCAGCGAGAGAATTTCATCTAAAGGCCATCCAAGTAACATAATTTTTGTACTGGTCAAATAGATTTTGATATTCCTTTGCAGACCCAAAAGCTTGAAGTGTAATTATTTTCCTTGCTAAAATGATCCAACCAACATGGTCTCATTAAACAAATACTCTTGTTGTAAATAGTTGAATTTTTCTTGTTATTTTTGAACCTTCTATTATTAATTTTCTTCAATTAATATGTAAATTTTTTTTCCACTTGAAATACAAGTGTAAACTCATGAGAACTCTTGTGATTAAACAAACTTTTTATTGTAAATAATTATACTTTTCTTGTTATTTTATAAACCTTCTCTTGTTAATTATTTTTGATTAACTTGTAAATTTTTTAAAGTATAAGTGCAGACCAACATGGATTCTTGTAAATAAATAAACTTTTTATTGCTAGTAATTGGATTTTTTTTTATTATTTACGGACCTTTGTGGTTAATTTTATTGAATTAACTGGTAAATTTTTTCAAGTGTAAAGTCATGTGGACTCTTGTGAATAAATACATTTTTTGTTATAAACAATTAGACTTGTTGTTTTCAAATTTTTTGTTATTAATTTTATTTGATTAACTTATAAATTTTTTCAAATGTGAAGACTCGTGTAAATAAATAGAGTTTTTATTGTAAATAAATGAACTTTTCTTGTTATTTATGAACTATTTGTTATTGATTTTTTTGAGCATATATATTCTCATTCATTAAGGAGAATTTGATCTTTTTACTCATGAAAAAAATTGTATTCGAAGCTTTTGAGCTTACAAAAAAATATCAAAATTTATCAGGGTTGTAGAGAAATTATGTTCATTGAGTGGCTTTTACACAATATTCTACCTTTTTTTTTTCAGGACCAACAAACAATATTCTCCCCTTTGAATACTCGAGCTCTTGGTGCCATTTGAACTCGTTGCTAGCACCAGCTTTTATATAAGCTGGAAATTCATGTTTAATTCGGTCATAGACGTGCACATCAGTTGACTTATCATATTTTGAACATAATTTAGACTTCACAATTTTCATGGTGTAAAAGCATTATTTGTTCTGACATCAATTTATTTTCCCCACACAATTTCACTATGGCTTTGTATTAAAAAAAAACAAAAAATATTCATGTGAACGTTGGGATCAGTTTTAGCAGTTCACGAATTAAACAAATTGCCTCAAACCCAATTCTTTCGAATGTTTCTACGGTGGCGGCTGGTGTGTTTTCTTACTAAACATCGTCTCAATGAGGCTTTACAGTATGGTAGAAGCAGCAGACGCGTATTAATAAAGCACTTAACAAAACATTTCTATTGCTAATCCGCGAAGAATAGTTACTGGAATCAGTCAACTATGATTCCCTCCAATGAATCATTCAATTTGCTGCTCGTTGAATGGCTAACCATGAAGAGTAAAATGGCACCAATTATGTGCCAAACCAGAACGAAAATAAGCAACATGAAACATGGTGTTGCTCATGTAACACCCCAAATAATTAAAACTTGTTTTAGAATATTGATGATTCTGTAAATATGATTAACTAAGAAAAATTCTAATGTGGATGGATTAACGATAATTTTCGTTATCATATTTGGCCTTTTATAGGCAGTCTTGGAAATTATTAATTTTCCAAGGACAAATGATAACATTTTTTTATTGTTTCTTTTTGTATTGGAAAGTAGACATCATAACCTTTTCAAACAATTATAATTCATAATTTTTGAAAGTATGTGAAATAAATTATGAATTTTTAAAATTTTTTAAAAAAAAGTGAGGGTATTTCTCATGGAAATAAGCAGTGAAAAAATTTCGTGAGAAATGTTACATTTTAAAGATCCACACCATGACATTTCAAACACTAAAGTTTTGGATGAGAAGTGTTAGAGCTTTGCTAGGGCTCAAATTTTTGGCACTTTAGGCTTGTTTTGAAGCATCTGATCACTCCCAACCATTGAGGTAAGACTTTTTATTTAATCTAGTCATATTTTCTTGAAGATTCATCAATTGGCTTTTCTCTTTCCTCTTGAAAACAAACTTAAGATTGGAAATACAATATAATTGAATTGTTTGGTTATTAATTTATGCTTTGGGAAGTTGAATGGAGGTTTCTATTGCTTCTAATGTCAATTTAAATGGTAGAAAATTAGAATGTGTCCCTTTTGCTCAAACCTCAAGCTATATAAAAAAGGGTTTCAATTTTGAAAACAAATTCTAGGTTGGAACTTTATATTTTAGTTATGGGTAACTTAGCTAAGCATCTTGAAACAAGAATTTTTCATTGGATTGAAAGTTTTGTGAATTTTTTATTCTTCTATAATTTATATTTGAAGTTTCAAGGGATTTTTGGTTGGAACAAATATGATGTCATATAACTAAGAAATTGATTTAGTTAGAAACTCTAGATAAAAATGATATTATGGCTAAAATTTCATTAGATTTGAAATTGGGTTGGTTTATTGTTTTGAGCTCGATATTCTTACTCAAAAAAAGGCTTATTTGACGATAAATTGAGAAATTGGTTTGAATGCTTGAACTTGATGGAATTGTTGACTATTTAACTATGATTGGTAATTTTGATATTTTTGCTACCTTGGAAGAATGAGGAGTGACAATTGTAGATGTCATGTTCATACATTCTCTAGTTCTTATTTGAGGCCGAAATGTGATTATGATATGAATATTATTATGTGAGCTTTGCAGGCTTTGGATTAGAATTATGAGTATATGAGCTTTTGCTTTTGGATAATGGTGTGGTGTGGTGTTTGCTT